TGGCCCATATGGCGATCGAACTGGCAAACTTGGTGTTATAAGCACTGTGCTCTAACCCACTTAGTGAACCGGCCACCCCTTTAGTTTCTTAATTGGGTCTTCTGTAACTTCTATTCTTAACTGAATTTTGTCAGTTACCAAGAGAAGTTTGTTAGAATCTCCCAGGCTTATTATTTTCTCAGTTTTATATATGTATACACAAAGATATTTTGAGGCTATGTAGGAAGTACATGGCAATTTAGAATTATTTAATCAGCTTGTTAATTTATTTTTTATCATTTTATAGTGATGACTTAAGAAATGTCCAAACCTGTAGAGAATTTTGATGAGTTTATTTGAGCCAAACTGACAATTGCTGGGAAGCAAAATCTCAACAGATTAAGAAAATGCTCTGGAGAATAGCAGTTTCGCAGCTTATTTTATATGTTAGAATCACAGTAGGAGACGTAAGATGGGTTACATGAAATCCATTTTTGGTTGGTTGATGGGGTGGGAGAAAACAAAGCGGGGGAAATCTCTGGGATTGGATAAAAAGTAAAATGGGGAAACACATACTTATTTTACATTGATGGTATACAGGATTAATTAACATTTACAGCACTTAGAGATGGTATTCCTGAAACAAGATGACAATGAGGGGTTCTGTGGGCTATGCCCTGAGGGGTCTGGGAAAAAGGGATTACTGTGACATTCCAAGGGTATGTTAGATGCAAAAAAGACAATAGACAGGCTCACTTAAGGTAAAGATTGACCTTTGCTAAGGAAACTACAGGCCATGGATATGAGTGCCTGCCATGACCTGCTTTTAGTTAGGAATTTTTATGTTCAGACCATCCTATGTGGTTAATTTCGGTCTCTTAATAAGTTTACAGGGCCTGCCATGCAGGCCTCCCCTGAGCTAGTCAGGTTTAGTATGTGGCCCCTTTTTTGTCCACAATAATAACCCCTACTTTTTAAAAATTCCTAATTCTACTTGACATAATCTGTTTTGATTGATACTGATAAAGCTACACCTGCTTTTTTTGGTTAGTATTTGTCTAACTTTTTCTGTCTTTTTACTCTAACCTTTCTGTCTTGATGTTTTAAAGTCCCATTTAAAGTGCATAGCTGTAATTTGTTTAATTTTTTTTAATCCAACATGACATTTTGGGGGTATTTCTATGCTTTTATGATTTCTGTTTATCCTGTTTTTTGCTACCTTCTTGTGGAATAATTAAGTGTTTCACCCCGTTTTTCCCTCTACTATTTTGGAAGTTAATTCTATTTCCTTAGCAGTGCCCTTCACATTTTAACATGCATAGTTAATCTAATGTCTAAATAATCAGAAACTTTGTCCCAAATAATACAGTGATTTTTAAACATTTAACTTTAATCACCACATCCTCTGTCTTACGTTTTCATTGTCTAGTTATGTTTGTTCTATCTATTTTTATCTCCCAAATTAGACATTCAGATTATTTTATAGTCAGTGTTTCTTTGGATTTACCCATGTTTACCAGTCTCTATACTCACTAAGCTTTTCATTATGTCAGACCTAATTCTTGTGAAATACAGTTGGTCATCATTATTCGTGGGTTTTGTATTTGCAGATTTATTTGTCCAGTTGCTAAAATCTGTTTGTAACCTGAAAATCAGTCCTTGCTGTGCATTCAAGGTCATTTGTGGACATGCTCTGGCAGTGAAAAATTTGAGTGGCAGGAGGTGCAGGTTCACATCTGAGGTTGAACAATGCCTTCTTACTTTAGCTCTCATGATATAAGCAGTGTCTCTTGCTTTCTGTTTAGTGCCACATTTTTGTACTTTCTGTTGGTGATTTCACTGATGCCCAAGTATTGTGTTGAAGTACTGTGTTGTGTTCCTAAGTGCAAGGCTGTGATGTGCCTTATGGAGAATATATGTGTGTTAGATAAGCTGCTTTCAGGCATGAGTTATACTGCTTTTGGCATGACTTCAATGTTAATGAATCAGCAATATATATTAAATAAAGTGTGTTAACGCAAATATACATGAAGCAAGATTATATATTGATAGTGTCTGGAGGCTCACAGGAATCTAACCAAGCATTTCCCTTAGGAACAATGAATTTGTACTTGCTGATTCACAGTTTGCAGTGACTTCATGAAACATAACTACTAGGAATAATATGAAACCACTGTACATCCTTTAGAAGTTACTTTAGCATTTTGTTTGAAAATTCTGCTAAGTTTGGTTTTCGTAAGTAATCTGAATTTTCACTATGGCTCTTTAAAAGTTGTTTTAGTCTGGTGTTCCAAGGTTTACTATGATGTATCTAAGTGTGGATTTATTTATTTATTTATTATTTTAGTGTGGATGTATTTTTATTCATCCTGCTTGGGATTTTTTTTGAGAGCTTCCTGAATCTAAATATTTTATTCCTCTCATCAGTTGTGGATCATCTCTTTGAATATAACCTTTCACACATTCTCTTTATTATGTCTTCATGGGATACCTAATATTAGACCTTTTGTTGTATTTTCTTTCTTTCGTGTCTTCTCTTTCATATTAACCTTAATTTTTTCACTCTATTCTCAATTCAGATCTATATTCAGTTTGCTGATTTTCTCTTCAGCTTTACCTAATTTTTTTATCTCCTTTTTTCCCCCCAACTATGAACCAAGGCCCATAATGACAGTTAAACTTGTCATCTCCTTTGCCAGTTTGTAAGACTATTCTCTCTCCCACCCTTATGCTAATGTTGTAGCCTTCAGGGGTTCCTTCTAGCTTTGTTCAGAAAGTTCAGCTTCAGCACCTCATCTTGAGTGGGGGCTTTGGCTTCAAGGGCTTCAGTGCTTACCTATTGCTGATATTTGCTTCTTCCTCTTTGGTCTATTCCCCAAAGATTTATCTTCCTTTTTTGCAAGCTGAACTCTGTATTTAAAAAGACATTTGTTGTAGTTTATCCAGTATTTCCATGTGTTTTTTCTAAATCTCTAGGCTTCCATATTTATGGAAATGGTTCATGTCTTTTTAGAATGAACAGAAAAAAGCTTTCTGGTCTTAAGTGGACTTCTGTAATGGATCTCCTATTATTTTTTGGCCAGTATTTTATACCATGATCAATATTAACTTAATATTAAATAATTCAGCTGTCAGTCCTCAGTACTTGCATTTTATAGTAAATTACTGGTTTAAGGGAAGCTAAAATTATTCTTTAAAAACAACAAAGAATATTATAGGAATTCATCCAAAATAATTGGCTATTTAATTGAGCGTTTAACTGTAGTGACTTTTTCTACAGAGTGTGTGATTCTATTTGGGAGATGATTTGGGAAATGAAAAATTCTTTTTTCTTTCTTTATTTCCATCTATATGAGTGATTCAGATTCTCAGCCCGATTTGCTATTGCACCCCTACCCAGGTGACATTTGACAATGTCTTAAGACATTTTTATTGTTCCAATTAGTGCGGGGGATGCTAGTGTCATCTAATGGATAATAGTCAGGGATGCTGATAAACTTCCTAGAATTCACAGGACAGAACTACAGCAAAGTATTTTCTGGCCGAAAATATCAATAGTGCTTAGGTTGAGAAACCCTATTTATAATCGTAAAAAGCTATAACTTTCTCAGTCATCTAGCTGAAAATGAGAAATCTTACTCATAAATGTAAAGTATATTTTACATTAAAATTACCCAGAAATTCATGCACATATAATTATTTTCTTAACAATTCTAGGTATATCTATCATTGATGAAAAATACTCAGGGTAGCAAAGTCATCCCTCTTATTATCCACAAACAAGGTTTTAAAGTAGAACCATGGAGCCATTGAGAAATGAACAAGGCAGCTTAATTTATGATTTAGTTTTTGTAAATAAAACTGTCAAATAATGCTTGTTTTTTTTTATAGTGATAAAATCCATCCAAAAGTCAGCTCTTTAAACTATATGCTGTGGGTGTATATTTCAAAAACAAAAAACACTTCTTTTCCATAGATGCTGTGAAGAAATACAGAATCAGTGTTAAAAAGAAAGTAGGTTTTACCATTTTCTAAAAGGCAGGAAACACATAGACTGCTTAGTCATTTAATCATGACACAAACCAGTTGATTTTTAAATAATCCACATTGCTTTGTCATATTCATGTGCAGATACTTCATATTTGTTTTTGTTTGTATTGTGAAAATGAAAGATTTATGGTATTACTAATTGGAGTCCTATTGAATACAGTACTTTTCTTCCCATTATTACTATTTGTTAATTTAAAATGTTTAATCTTAAAATAGTTCTAGACTTAAAGAAAATTGCAAAAATACCACAGAGTTATTTTATACCCTTTACCAAGCTTCACCTAATGTTAACATCTTACAGAACTATAGTATAATTATCAAGAAAAAGAAATCAACATCACTATAATGTTATTAATTAAAGTACAGACCTTACTTGGATTTCACCAGTTTTCCCACTAATGTTCCTTTTCTGTTCCAGGATCCAGTGCAGGATATCCTACATTGCATTTAGTTTGCTTATCTCCTTAGTCTTTGCCACTCTGTGCCAGTTCTTCTGTCTTTCTTTGTTTTTCATGAACTTGAAACTTGAAGAGTACACTGGTCAGTTATAGCAGAGGATATGTCTTAGTTCAGGAATGTCTGATGTTTTCTTTTGAGTAGATTGAGGTTATGTTTTTTGGCAACAACACTGTAGAAGTGATTCTGTACCCTTCTCAGTTCATCATTTTGGAAGGTAAATGATGTTGAACTGTCTTAACTACTGGTGATGTTATCCTAGGTAAAGCTGTGTCTGCCACGTTTCTCTACGATAAAGTTGCCATTTTCCCTTCATAATTAATAAATATATTTCTTGCTGTTAATGAAGTTTTTCATAGAAAATAAATGCAGAAAGGATAAAAATTTTTCTGTTTTCTCAAATTCTTTGTGAATAGTTGGCTTAAATAGTATAATTTTATCTGATAGTTTTTATAAATTTAACTTCTTGTTTGTGGATAGGTTGGGAAATGAATAGCCTTAACATATATCTACAGAACACCTATTTAACTTGAAGTTTGCAGCAAAAGAACTTAATAGGAATGCCAAGAAATGCGATAAAGAAGAAAAGGCTGAAAAGGCCAAGATTAAAAAGGTAAGCGTTTTTAATATTTTTACCATTTTTTAGACCCACGAGATGAGCACAGTTAATTATTGAAGAATGGTTAATTGTTTCAGTTTATTTTATATTGAAGAAAGATTACTGGCTGTAGCATTCTAAATAAAATATATATTTAAATTTTACTATCTGACATAGTTAATAATGGCTCTTTTTTGTTTATTACTATTTATGTGTTCAAGTATGGCTCACATACAGAATATAACTGTTCTGTTACCTACATCTAAAGACTAGCCTTTGGTTTGTAGTTAAAACCACTCTTACTGAGAAGTATATAGCCTATATGTAAGAATAATATTTAACATTTTGGCTCATTTTCGTTTCTGTAGTCTCTAAAATTTTATATCTAAACAGTATATAACATTAATGCATATTGTGGTTTGTGTACTGTATATTTTCTATGAAGATTCACAGGACTCAGGATATAGTTGTACTCGTGGCTATGATGTATTATACTGAAAGGATACAAAGCAAAATCAACAATAAAAGCCATAAAAACAGAAGGAATCCTGCCATTTTCAACAACATGATAGTCCTTGAGGGCATTATGCTAAGTGAAATAATTCAGACAGAGAAAGGCAAATACCATATGATCTCACTTATGTGAAATCTTTAAAAAAATCAGATAAAGAGAACAGATTGATGGTTGTTGAGGGCTGGGGGGTGGTGTGGGTGAAATGGGTGAAGGTGGTTGGTCAAAAGTTACAAACTTCTGGTTATAAAATAAGTCCTGGGGATGTAATGTACAGTATAATGACTGTAGTTAGTAGTACTGTATTGTATATTTGGAATTTTCTAAGAGAGTAGATCTTAAAATTTTTCATCACAAAAAAATTGTAACTATGTATGGCTATGCATGTTAACTAGGGGGAAAAAAACTTGGGAATTGTGTGAGGTTGCATGTCCTAGTGTACACGTATTTATCACATTGCTGTTTGTATTATTGAAGAATTGAAAACAGACTACTCAGCAGTCAGGGATCTTAATCCATGTTCTCAAATTTCAGTCACTTCTGTACCTTCTCTATTTTGCTTTTTTGGAGGATCATCTGAACTATTTGATATTTTCCTTTAAATTGACTTTTAACTTTAGCCCTGCCCGAAGCTGTTATAGTAGGAGAAGCATGGATTTATGTTAGTTAGATCTATTTCAAATATACATTTAAATAAATGCATAATTAAAATGAAGATACATATGTCTGTATAACATCTAATATCATTTCATGTACTATCAGTAGTGTTTGTACCACACACGAGAAGGCCCTGGTTAATGGCACATTCATACTACACAGCCTTTAGAAATGATGGTGTAGTTATATATTTGACTTAAAAAGATGTTTTTAATAGTAGGTGAGAAAACAGTATGCTTTATACATTTACTCTTAAAATAAATTTATATTGGAATGAATAGGTTTATGTACTTGGAATACTATACACTAGAATATTAACAGTGGTAATGGCTCAGTGATGTGATTATGGGAAATGTTTTAAGCTTTATATTCCAATTTCTTAAAATACTAATAAGCATATATTTTCTAATCATAATTTAAAAATTAAAGAACATGCAATGTGATGTATAGATGATATATTACAGAATTGTACACCTGAAACCTATATAACTTTACTAACCATTGTCACCCCAATAAACTTTAATTAAAAAAATTAAAGAACTATAAACTCTCCTTTTAGTTCCTTAAAAACTAATTGTAATAGCTCTTAAATATTATTAAAATTAGGTTAATTTAGGATTATTTTCTCTTTTTAAAATATCTGTACTTTTGCTTCCTTTCTTTGCCAATATTTACTTTAGCTCTTTGTCTTCACTACTACCTGCTTTTGCTCTGCTTATAACAGGCCATTCAGAAAGGCAATACAGAAGTTGCAAGAATACATGCTGAAAATGCAATCCGCCAGAAGAACCAAGCAATTAATTTTTTGAGAATGAGTGCTAGAGTTGATGCTGTGGCAGCCAGAGTTCAAACTGCAGTAACAATGGGCAAGGTAAGTCTTAAAACCTATAAGCAGTAGGAACTCTTGATTTAAGTTTAATGACAGTATTAGGAATTGTCAGAAATCTAAATCCATTGCAAGGTGCTACAGGGTGCTGGTAAAGGCCTTTGGGGCAAGAGAGACATAGTCAAAGTGCCTGGTGAGGAAAATGATTTTGGCAGTGACTTTTAAACTGAGGTCTGTTACTTGTCTTCCAGTGAAGAGTGAAAGATAAAAGATGGTCAGTGCCTAGACCAGAAATACGTACTGTATTTTTACTGTTAAGGAAAGGGTAGACAAATTTCATAAGTTGGTCTGTAAGTAATGTATTTAAGAGACTACATACATTTTGAGATTACTTATAGGACGCTGTCTTTTTTTTTTAAAACCCCAATAGGTAACCAAGTCCATGGCAGGTGTAGTTAAGTCTATGGATGCTACATTGAGGAGTATGAACCTTGAAAAGGTAAAAAAAAAATTTGATGTTCAGATAGCATCTTTTCAGTGTAAATTTTTCTTATGGCCATATTTCCTTTTACAGATTTCTGCCCTGATGGACAAATTTGAACACCAGTTTGAAACACTGGATGTTCAAACACAACAAATGGAAGACACAATGAGTAGCACTACAACCCTAACAACACCACAAGTAAGAATAGTTTATCTACTTAGAATAACTTTTTAAAATTACCCAACTTCAAAATAGAATGGCTTTGTGAGCCTAAATCATATCTAGAATGCAAAGTAAACATGGTGTATCTCCAGAATGCAAGTAGGAAGTTATGCTGTGCCCCTGGATTCCTGAGGACATGTTGCAAGGTTACATTCCCTATCTTATTTTGAAGTTCTAAGACTTATACTAGGTCACTTGTCTTAGAGCATTTGGAACTTGATTTTTCCTTTCTGTCAGTGGTTCTTACTGATGAGGCATTACACTAGAGGCTCACTGAGGCCAGTGGGTATTAGGTATTATCCTTAGCCTCAGCTAATTCGTCTCATTGCAAATATTTTTCTGCTTCCTCCCTACTTTTTAGGTATGTTATTTATGCACAAGTCACAGGTGAACACATAGTAAATCACAAGATTGATTATTTTTCAGAAAACTAGGATGTTTACTAAACTTACAACGTAGAGATCTGCTACAGAGAAAATTAATTAAAATGTGAAACTAGTTTGTATCTGACACAAGCCAGAAACAGTTTTGTGAAATTTGAATATTCAGATAGAAAATTTCTTTCATTATTACTCTCTTTCATCCTAGTACCTATTACATGGTTAACAAAAGAATGAAGAACTTGTTACCACTACTTTGGATGCTAATATGGAAAAATACATAATTTACAAAATAGGTTAGGAAGAAATCAGCAACCATCCATCAATATTTTACTGCAGATAACTCTTTTCCCTAAAAGATAAATAGTAAGAGAACAAGCTATACTCAGATTTTAGAGTTAAGTAGAAAGAAGTCATGCGTATGTCTTATAGTGAGCATATATTTAGCTGTTACTTTTCTACCTTCTCTAGAGCCTTGATCCCCAAAATCTCATTCAAGAATTAAGAACATCTGTATCATCTGGGAGCTCATTAGGAATTCAGAAATTCAGACCCTTCCACAGGCATACTGAATTAGAGTTATTTTAATAAGATTCCCAGATGATTTTTAATGCACTGAGTTTGAGAAGCACTGCCCTAGTGTTTCTGATTCTTATTCATGCACCTTAAATGATCCCCAGGTGATTTTATGATCAGAAAGTTTAGGAAACACAGGTGAATTGGAAAAATGACTTGAAGTCAGGACATTTGGATTTCTAATCCCCACTTTACCAGTAATTAACTTTGGGACCTTAAGATATTTATTTATTACCCTGTGTACCTCAGTGTCCTTAGCTATAAAATGTAGGGGTTGGATCTGATGATATCTGAATGCCTTTTAGCTCTGAAAAATCTTGAGATTCATTCACCCAACATTTACTGAATGACCTCTCCTGTTTCAGGTATTGGGCTAGGTGCTGGGGACATTCAAATATATACAAAACATTCTCCATAAAAACTCAACCAAAACTTACAACAGAAACAGAGAGAGGGCTGATTGAACACACTCAGTGGCCTAAATTGTCATACTCTGCTAATGAGAACTTAGAATTTAAATTGGCATATCCACTTTGAAAAAGCAATTTGGTAATATCTACAGTCTGTTCTTAACATAGCAGCCAGGGTGATCCTGTTAAACAGGTCAGATCATGTCACTCCTGCTGAAAGCCCTCCAGTGGCTCCACAACTCCCTCAAAATAAAAGCTAAATTCTTTACAATGGCCTGGAATGCCCTATGGGGTCTGCCTCTTCCTGCTTCTCTAACCTAATCTCCTACTGCTGTTCAGTCCTCTACTCAGGCACTTGGTTTCCTTGTTATTTCTCAAACATACCAAGTTTATTTCTGCCTCACAGCCGTTCCTCTTGCTGTTTCCTTTGCCTGAATGTCCTTCGTCCATCTAGCAGACATCCTCGTTGCCCACTCCCCATCTCCTTCAGCTCTTTGTTCAGATGTCATTTTCTCTCAGTGAGGTCTTTCCTAACCATCCAACTTAAAAGTACATCATCAGCACACCCACCATTCCTTATGCTTCTACATACCTGCTTTATTTTTCGCCATAGTACTTATCATCATCTAATATACCATATAGTTTTTTTAAAGTTTTAATTGCCCCACTCTTTCATGTGCACACGCTAGAATGTAAGCTTAACAAAGGCAGGAAGTTTTTTATCCCTTTTGTTCATTGATGCATTCTTAGCACTTAAAACGATATCTGGCATGAAGTGTCCTCAATTAATATTTGAATAAATCAGAGGGTATAAAAATACATGTAACTTATAATCTAGTATTTCTACTTCCAAATTTATACACAAAAAACCTCTGTATGTATACAAACATATTTATTCATGAGCCTGTTCATTGCACCGTTGTCTGTAATCAGGAGAATTTAAGGAAAAAGTCGGAATGTCTAGAAATGAATGGATAAATAAAATTGAATGTATTTAAATACTATAGTATTGTATAGGACTGAATGAATGAACTAGATCTCTAGATCTCAATATAATTAAATCTTACAATGTTGAATGGGAAAAGTAAGTTGCAGAATAGTATACCTATTGTAGTACTATTTAAGTAAATTTAAAAAACACAAATAATGCTATTTTAGATATAAAAAGTAAATCTTTTTTACCAAATGTAAATGTACATAAGCCTTCAGTCTATTTTCTGAACTTTTCCTGCATTTTGGAAATATATATATTTTTTATTTAGCTGAGCCATCTTGGCAGCTCAGTGGCAGCTCAGCTCGGGCGGGGACTTGAACCACTGTTTCTCAGAGCTCACACTCAGAGTGAGCTCTTAACCACCTGAGCCACTCAGCCGGCCCTGGAAATATAAGTGAATGAGAACAAGAGAAACTAAGGCCCAACAACAAGGGTAGTGAGTTGCTAAAATCATACACCTAGTTAATGGTAGAGCTGGGACTATGTCTTAGAACTCCCACTTGTATGTCCAAAATGTTTTTAACCACTAAGTTAAAAACAAAGTTTTTTTGATTAACCAGACTCTGTTTCCTGAGAACTCCTGTACTGTAGTAAATTTCTCAATATACTTATATTTTATTCATCTTTAGAGATTTTCAAAGAGTAATCTTTATCAATTTTGTATCAACTAACAAAGAACAGTTATGATTAATCTAAAATTCAAATCTATTTAAATACAAGCAAAGTGGATTAGAAAAGAGCTTTATAAATTGGTTTATTCTGAGAGGTACATTACCCAGATTCAAATTAAAAGTGAATATCGCTGCTAATATTTGTCACATAACCTCATAGTTTAAGGCTTTACCATTTACCATTATTCAGAAATAAACCTTTTTTGAAATAATTCAGCTCCCTCTAGTGGTAAACAATATATATTTTTAAAGTTCTCTTAAAAATTGTAGGCCAGTTCCCCCTTTTTAAAGCAAAATCAGAAACAGAAACCACCCAAAAAGCAATTGTCATTAAAATTCAAATTCTCATTCTTTCTAGAACCAAGTGGATATGCTGCTTCAGGAAATGGCAGATGAAGCTGGGTAAGAAGTTATTGAAATGTTTTGGATAATCTTGATTTGATATCAGGAGGCCCTAAAATTATGTAATGTAGATAAAAATATTTGTCTTTAGCACCAGTAGTTAGAGTTAGGTTTTTGAACCTAGAATTTAGTGTCGGAAGGAGCCTTGAAATAATCATCCTGCTCTTTGCCATGCTTGCAAAAATGTGACTTTGTTCAGATCATTCTAGTATTTTCTTAAAAATCTCTGGAGATACGTTCATTTAATGTGTGAAAAGACATGGAAGAAGGTGATTGAAAGAGGCAGGAGAGTTAAAAGTTTTTCTCAGTACCTTCTATGTTCAGCATATATCAAATGTTTGGATTCTATTTTTTATAAAAAGGATCTTTCAAAAGAATGCTGCTATGATCAGGCCATTAAGTCTTAAGCCCAGTTTGATTCGTGTAAACTGAGCAATATGTGGCAAAATGTCCTAGGGGTTTAAAGGATGGTAGCATTGGATCATTGCAGCTTGTCATATATTTTTTTAAAAAACTAAATAATTGACACACTTTGTGGTACTGCTATTAGAAATAGGGTATCTATTAATGGGCTGTTTATTTCAGGCCATTCGTGTTTGTGGGGAATGACTTGACCATGATAATATCTGTGCTACAGAAGTCATATTATATCAGTGTTGTCTAGTATATTATTTAGTTCAAGAGACCATTGTAGGGACAGATTAAAAATATATTTTTTCAAAAATAAAGATTAAAATTGGGTGATAATAAAGTTTTATACTTATCCTCAAAGGTAGAGTAGTAGATTGAAATAGGGTTCATGTATTCTATTCTTTTCTCCTGGAAAGAGAAGATTTGAAGACACCTGGAATATAGAGTTAATGAATATTACTCTAGTATCTTGAATGAACAGTTAAGTTTGTCAGCTGTTTAGATCACTAATGTGTCATTAGTGAATTACAACCTAGGTTAATAAATCAAGTTTGCGTAATTTAACGCTTAGGGCTGACGGTTAGGTTGTACACTGTTTTGCTTTGGCAGTGTCCTGACATAGCCCATATACCAACAGGGAAGAGAGCAACAAAGGTGATTTTTGTTAAGTATTATGAAAGAGTCAAAGGCATTGTGTGTCAGAAGACTTCATTTTAGTAAAATGAAGCTAAGGACTTGTTTCTGTTCCTACCAAAGACTAAATAAGAACATTGGGCTTGAAAATACAGCAAAGGGGGTCTTATAAAATGAATATCGCCACATTATAGCTTTGCTGACCCTCAGTGGGGATCAAGTTTAGCAGACAACTTTTTAGTAAGATTTAGAGCAGGATTTCTTAACCTCGACACTACTGACATTTTGGGCTAGATATTCCTGGAGGCTGTCCTTTGCATTGTAGGATGTTTAGCAGCATTCCTGGCCTCCACCCACAAGATAGCAGTAGCACCCCTACCCAGGTTGTGACAATCAGAAACACATCCAGACATTGCCAAATGTTCCTGGGGTTGTGGAGGGGTTGGGGCCCAAAATCTGGAGAGATTAATTATGTCAATAAAGGGTGGTGACTGGAGCAGTAGAAATAGGTAAAATCACTGATGTTAAAATACTGATGCCCATTCTTAAAAATGTTTAAGTATCTGAATTCTGTTTGAGTTTGTGATTTTCTCAAAAGAATTTTAGTATAGTGTATCTTTACTTTTTAAATAACAATCTGTCTGTAAACTCTTCTAATGGCTGTTAAAGTTAACGCTCTTCCCTGTAGTGTTTTCAAACTGAAGTCAGTATACAGTGGTTGAGAGACAGGAAGAAAGTCTAGTTTATATCCTGTAGGAGAAATTATAATGGAAATTAAAATTACAGGCTTTGGAGGGCAGACAAACCTAAGTTCAAATCTTATCTGTCACGAGCGTGATCTTGGGCAAGTGTACTTAACTTTTCTAAACCTCAGTTGTATGGGTGGTTGCAAGTAATGATTCCTACTAAGGGCAGCTCAAGAGCTAGACACACTGAACTTGAAGTTAGCTCAAATGTTAGATGTGGATCCTGAGGCTACATTTATCTAGCCTGTTTTATCTTTGCATATTAATTTTCCTTTACAGTGTGAGCCATATAGTAATTTCCAGTAAATTGAATACATAGGATTTCTTTTATTTTGGTGTTTTGTTCAGATGACTAGATCATTTTGCTGTCTTTTATTCGTTTTTCTGTCATAAGATTATCACCTACATGGATCACCAGAGGGCTCAACAAAAAATGCTTAAAAAGTAGACAATTCATTTATCCTACAGTAGACATTCAGAAGATGTTTAAGTTCTGTTTACATTTATAAAATTTAACCAGTTTTATTCATATTTAAATTGAGGTAAAATGCTATTTTTTTATATTTATATTTATATTTGCAATGATATAAATATTTGGAATATTTATATTTGCAATAAGCCTATTTTATTGCTTATAATTACATACGGAGGAAAATGCCTATGTTAACATTCATTTATGCTAATTATTTTTAAATTGTAGCCTTGATCTCAATATGGAACTACCACAGGGTCAGACAGGATCTGTCGGTACAAGTGTTGCTTCCACAGAACAGGTAGAAGTTGGATTTTATCTTGATTGGTATGAACTTGATGTATGAATTACATATATATTATATATGTATATATATATATACGTTTATTCTTTTATAAAGAGTATTTTTCTATAATATGACATAAATTAGTAAAATGCAATTAGCCTTTAATACCTCAATGATGGATATTTTCTATTTGCATGCATATTTCATTTAGAGATTGAATTAGCTCCCTTCATAGCCTCTGCTCTATTAAGTTCTCCATTTATTTTGAAATGTTTTTTTAAAAATGTAAATTCTTAATGTTGGTTTTTGTGTGTATTTTTGAGACAAGATTTTTAATTTTATTTAAAATGTGAGCTACTTAAAATATCAGTGATTTATATTTGTCATAGCCTTATGACTTAAAATTTGCTTTTTCCAGGATGAACTATCACAGAGACTTGCTCGTCTACGTGATCAAGTGTAATTTAAAGAACAAGTGCTTTTGTTTACATCACCTGCTTCTGAAATATTTTGTGTGTATATATAGATAAGCTGTACTCCAGTTACACTAAGAACACCATATATTATAGAATGCTTAAACACTATTTATATATAATGCTTTCTTTTGCCATGCTGAAGTTTCCAATACTTTAAGAAATTCCAGAGAGTTTCCACCTTGACAGATTTTACAGTTTTGTATATTATGTTGAAAAGTGTGAGTGACATTTTTATTTGTTGATGTCTTAGCTTGTATATTAAACATCGTCCTCAAAAATTACATAAAAAATCTAGCACCAAAGTACTACAGAAATAAAGTACTTTATACAGAATAACATATAGGATAAAGGTTTGGTTTCTTTTAAATTAAATGTAGTTTTAAACCCCTGTCTGCATTCACATGTGATGGATAAAAATAAAAGCAGGAAAAACATGTTTACTTAAAATGATGACATAGCCAAAAACACCTCATTTAGTGTCATACAATGGACAGTGCTATTTTTTGTGTTTTGTGCTTTGTGTTTGTTTTTGTTGTTCAAGCAGAAATGCAGTTGACTTTTAATCTGCTTTTAAATTTTAAATTATTGAAATTTTTACCCAATAATCTAATGACTATTTGAATTCCTTAAATTTAAAACAATTTTTCATTGATAATTTCCCAATATAACTAGAAAAAAATCTACAACATTAAATCAGAGAAGTTAAGGTTTGCTCATTTTTAAATTTTTTTCTTTGCTAAATATCGCTGTTGTTAAGACTCAAGAGAAATTTAACCTTTCATACTTTCAAACAAAATTTTAACACATTTTTAATGATTCTGTTTCTACTCTACCCTTGTTACACTGTATTTTAAAAGATTAATTTACGTGGACTTAATATCATTTAGATTTTCCATAGGAATGTTGTTTGCTTTTTGAGAATCTTGGCCTACATTTTTTTTTAAGCTGAGCCATACTTCCACCTGTTGGCAGCTCAGCGGCTGCTCAGCTCGGGCTGGGAATTGAACCGCTGTTGCTCAGAGCTCAAACTTGAGCGAGCTCTTAACCAACTGAACCGCTTGACCTACATTTTTAAAAAAACTAACAACAGCAACAAAAACAAAAATTGAATCAATTCAGTTTACAACTACTGTAAGCAGTGGTTAAATGTATTTGTACTTTTATCTTAAACAAAACCTCTTTAATAACTGGAAGAAATGAAATAAATGTTAGAATAAAATATTTTGCCTAGCCATGCGAACAATTTCTAGTCCAATGGAAGTTGGATGCATAACTTAGTGGGTGGGGGTACTGAGAAGCCCTAAGGTCATAAAGAAGAATAAACTCTGGAAGCCAGGCTGCTTGGGGAAAGCATTTGATGGCTAGCTGTACTGCTTTCCATTTCCCCAGAAATATCTCTATTTTACCACTAACATAAACAAGTTAACATATGCCTGCAATTTTCTGATACGCGTTTGGACAATTAAGTTCACAAACTTGTTGCAATGATGTTGTTAACTTTTTTTGATATCAGAAGGATTATTCATTATGAATTTGTACCAACTAGACAGTTAACCAAGTTGTCTATTTGGAAGTGCTGAAAAGGCTGTGTGAAAAAGTTAGATGACCTGAACTTTTCGCCAACAAATCATGACTTGCATCACGACAATGCACCAGCTCACATGACACTGTCTGTGAGGGAGTTTTTAGCCAGTAAACAAATAACTGTATTGGAACACCCTCCCTACTCACCTGATCTGGCCCCCAGTGACTTCTTTCTTTACCTGAAGGTAAAGGAAATATTGAAAGACATTTTGATGGCATTCAGGACATCAAGGGTAATATGAAGACAGCTCTGGTGGCCATTCCAGAAAAAGAGTTACAGAATTGCTTTTCAGGGTAGAAAGGCGCTGGCATCGGTGCATAGCTTCCCAAGGGGAGTACTTCAAAGTGACTGTAGTGATATTGAGCCGTGAGGTATGGAGCACTTTTTCTCGGACGAGCTGAGAAACTTAATTGTCCGACCTTGTATAACAATCTCAAATGTGGAGAACTGACCAAGCTATATTTCAGCAAGTATACTTACCTAGATTAAATAGGTAAGGTATTTTTTCATTACTTACGGTATAATTGGTCCATGAAATAATTTTAATATTTCATTAAGTTCTATTGAAGAGCAGATCTATTTAGAAAATTTCCATTGTTAAGTCATGAAGGCATTCAAAGTGCAATTATGGAGACGCTTTTTTGCTAAGTATTCACCTTTCATATATTTCCTACTGTAAATGAGAGAGTATATAAATGAAGATTATTTTCACTGGTTAATGAAATGAGAAATTACTCTTTTGCTAAATTTGGGTTAAACCTATGTAACTTTCTTGGTACTTGACTGTATGGTGTGACTTCAATGTGTTAATCTTCCATTGTGTTTATACTTGATGCTTTGTCCTTTCTACTTAAAGGGTAAGTTTGTTTATATTGGAACATCCCTGGGTAGCCACAGAAGAGATTATTACAGACTAAAATATCTATGAAATAGAGTTTTCTTATTTTTCCATCATGGGAAATGTAGCCTTTGTTCTTTTGAATTCAATAAAAAATGTTAAATTGTGAATACGGCTTGCTTAAATCTAGAAATATAAATGGCTCTGATCTAAAGATAACTGCTCATAGTTTTATTTGTTTATCAGCCATATCAGATTTGACTTTTAAAAATATTGTTCTTTCATAGACATTACGAGATGTGACCAAAAATTCAGTGAATGTTTAAATAAAGAAATGTATTACAGTAAAAGACACATTGCCATTAATCCCCCTCAAAATATCCCCCCTCACTTTGAACAAAGTTATCTCATTGTTCTTGCCACTTTCTGAAGCAGCTGTGGAAGTCCTTTCGTGAGTCGCTTTAGTTGCACTGTCATGGCTGTCTCGATGTCTTGAATCGATTCAAAACATTTTCCTTTCATGGTCATTTTGACTTTGGGGAAGAGCCAGCAGTCGCACGGTTCCAGATGTAGTGAATAAGGTGGATGAGGACACACCGTAATGTTTTTATTTGACAGAAATTGCCATATACCAGAAGCGATGTGTGACATGGAGCATTGTCATAATGGAGAATGAAGTAAAGACACTCATGGAAAAGGACTTCAAGAACTGTTTCAGAAAGTGGCAAGAATGATGGGATAAGGGTGTTCAAAGTGAGGGGGACTGTTTTGAGGGGGATTAATGACACTGTGTCTTTTACTGTAATATTTTTTTATTTAAAGATTCATCATATCTTTTGATCACACCTCATAAGTTTTACTTTTGGATTTACTATGTTATAAATATAGTAAAAAGTTCTTGTTTACAATCTGTTCTTAAACCAAGAGCCCCACCAACCTGTACCTTGTTAGTATAAATTACATTTCTAGTTTGATAAGTGATTCAATTATTGAAAAATAACACATGCCAGACTATACTATCTTGAAAGTTAGACATCATAGCACCTTTAATTTACCTTCAGTTTTCATTCCTTATCAATCTAGTTTTCTCGTGATTTTTTTCTAAGTATTTGACTATATCATTTGATAGAATATATAAGGTTAAATGCTCAGAAGCATTTTACTGCACCTTCACCCTCTAGACAATGTGAATATTATTAAAAGAGTTTTTAAAAAGCACCTCTGACAAAAATTATACCCCTGTTCCTATGCCTCAATGCCTAAAATCATCCACTTTCCTATGAACCATCTTAGGTAAACATTATGGACTGGGTTATTTTATCTGGTTAATTTATTACCAATCATTGCTACAGAGAGGAAACAGAAACAGGAGATAGAACAGGTAAATTATGATAAGAGGTGGGTTTGCTTTATAGTTTTGAGAGTTGTGGGAATGGAACCTCTGGACAAACTATCTGAAGAGAATCTAATGGTACTAGTTATCTATAAATAAAATAACAAAATGATTGATAGGATGCCATGACAAGCGGCCTAATAATTTTCTATGGATTTACTGAAGTTAGTACATAACTGCTCCAAGATAAAGACTTAAGTTGGCTCTAGTGTAGACAGACTATTGAGGAAAAAGCCCTAGATCCAATCTGCAGTGATTGATGTGTGTTTCTAGCCCTAGCTCTGATACTAATTTCTTACTTGGCTATTTTTGTTACCCCATTCTGGGCCTTAGATTCTCTTTATACGAATCTTTTCAGAGGCATCAATTGGTTCTGTGACTTTAAGTGAAATGACGTTTAATGAAACCAAGTTTATGATAGGCTAATTGGTATAAACAGGAGTTACGTTTCTACAGCATCTCAACATAATGAAACAATGTTGAACAAAACATTTGAGGACTTGCTGTATATTGGTTGTGCAAATCGAAGTGAGTTGCTGTAGTACAGTATATTTCCTCTATTCTCTGTTTGCTACCATTCCCCCAAAAGAATTTCAGGTACTGTAGTAAGATGTTATGTATCTTAGAATTTTTTGTTTCTGGAGACCTAGAGAATATCTAGTTCATCCCACCATCTATTTTACAGAATAGGAGACCAAAGAGATTTAGATCCACCACATCTATTGAGCATCTATTAGTACTTAACATTAAGAATAGTTCTGGGTATTTTGATATATTATTGTTGTTTAATCCTCAAAAGAATCGTGTGAGCAAGTGGATTATTGTTATCTCAATTTTTAGAGAACAGGAAACAGGCTAAGTAAATTGCCAAGATTCATACAGATACTAAAATACAGCTGGGATTTTATTACAAATGTGTCTCACTTCAAATCCATTGCTCATGGCACTATGCTAAACCTGGATTCTAACTGGAATTATATGACAGTTCTATCTCATCCACATAATTTAATCCCCACTACCATGATTTTGTGATTTTGTTGCTGAGACAGATGGTAAAAGCTACTTATCAAATTCTTGACTAGGGTTAGTTCATCCTGAGAAAAACATGTTTAGCAGAGTGTTTTTAGGCAAGGATTGGTTCTTGTTTCTTCAGTCTGAGCTATCATAAAAATATGACTTTCAATTTGGAAATCATAACCATTTTTCTATAAGTTAACAAATGGAATTAATTTGTTACAAAGTTAAGTTGCATTCATTCTCAAGCATTTCATTTTCCACACTGGAAAATGCTCCCAGGAATAAAAAGATATAGTGGTAAAAACCATTAGACTGAAATTGCAAAAATAATATATCCAGCTAACTGATGATACTGTCTATATTCTTGTAAATGTACTACTTCACTACTGTGGTAGCTGGTACAAAGTTCTTGAAAGTGCCTTGCTACAAATAAATGGTTAATGTGCCTGTGATACTTAAGTAGTTTATATATTAATCATTAACTCATGAGTTATTTTGTTTGCCAGAGAGCTAAAAGCCTTCCAACCTTCAGTTAGAAAAATCCAAATAGAACGTTAAAGGAAAATTTATGCCTAGTAAAATAAATTAATTGTTCTGTTTTATGTTTGTTCTCAAATTTAGTAAGGGAAGGAAAGAAGTCTTGATGTAATATGTTGCTTGGTCATTTAAACAAAGTTGGGTCCCATGTACCAGATGAAAGGTCATAAAATGAACTCTATTTCTTAGAAATCTTACTTAAACTTGATCATGCCAGAACTTGACTGGTTTAGCTTTTGCTTTATGAAAGTGACATGACATCATTGGAGGAGAAACTTTACAAATTTTGGAAAACAACATTGTTGCACAGTGATTTTATGTCACTTCCATAAAGGCATTTGGGTTTTGAAGTAACACTAATTTACAAGGCCTTTCCATATGGAATTTTGATAATTTATTATTTAGATTCAATCAAACATGAAGTCTCGGGTAAATGAAAGATGTAATGGGAGAGTAACATCACCAAGATGGCAACATAGGTTGTCCTGACTTCAAGCCCCCTCACAAGAATAACTAACCAACTATTCAAGGTCAAGAATCCACAGAGAATTCTAGAACATGGGTGTGAAGCTGAAGCACCCTGGCCCTGAACAAAGAGACCAAGATA